AGAAGGAGGTAAGTTATTATAATTAAACAAGCTAAAGTTCTCACGCTGGGCTTTAATTCCGTAAGATAAATCACCTTTATAGATCTCGTTGTGCGAACTTGTTGAATTGCTCTCAGGCATTCCGGCTTAGGCCAGTGTCCAGTGCCTTAAGTCTTCGTAAAAGATCAAGTGAGCGCGTTTAGAGAAAACGGAAAAGGAGATAGTACATTTCAAATGAAGCTGGAAAGTATTTACTCCACGTCCGGGCCACCGCACTGTCCATGCTCGTATCCCTTAAAGTAAGGTTTGACGCGAATTGATCGGATTCACAGCCTTCAAAACCAGTTACTGCAAGCTTTGTTTAACTAAAAATAGAAGTGCTTTTAAAAAATGCCATAACGTCAGCGGCCTACTTTATATGATGTTTTCATGGCTTAAGGTCTCACGTAACATGGTCGGATACTTCTTGTTGCGAATATTACAGCATTTTCACTAAATATTGTCAAAAAATACTATTCACCTTATCATTTAAAATTTATAGCATACTTAGCGGTACAGCTCAAACTTTGTTATACTCTGCAGCTTGTCACTTACCATGCTTCTAGGTAAAGTATTATTTTAATGGCAACTTACATGGAGAATTAACGGTTAGGAATAGTCCCGCTTTGACAGCAGTGAGCTAAGTGTTTCGGTTCTTTTTTAAGTATACTAGTTGCTTGGATTGATTAAATTAACTTTTGTGTCAAATTTGTTTGGTATTTACAAGAAAGAGGTAAAATATGGCTCAGTTGGGGACGCCGGAAGGATAACCTATTCCCTTTCAATTTTTCACTGTCAATTTGAAATACGGATGTGTTTTCACCTAAACGGAGATTCAACTCTGCCATGATCAGTGAATTATTTACACTGTGGTGTCTCTTTCATTTAAATAATTCAGCTGATTTACTCAAGCCATAACTAATGTGAAAACATCCGCCTTACACGATTTATGTCGTTAAGTACACTGAAAAAGATGAAGGAAATTGCCCCGTACTTTATAATAAATCCTTACTTGCCACATATTAACATAGACAATTTTATTTCGGCATAGTTTCCTATATAACTTTTTAATTTGTTATGAACATTTGCAGGCCTGTACTCTTACTCCATACAAGCGAAAGGTGGGTTCCAGGAAGCAGTTGAGAAGTAGTCGCGACAGCTAAACGAGTAATTTATTCGTATGACATTTCGCATTCATGCTCGAAGACATCATCAGAGACAGCATGAGTTACGGGTAATTTATATACAAGGTATTTCAGTATTTATAGGATGCAGTCGCTAAGCTACCGCAAGGCACATACATCAGGGAGACTGGAAGACTGTTCCAGACGCGAATGCCAGCCTTGCGGAGAAATGTCGTCAACTCTCAAGTCACGGCCCCTTCGACGAGACCCGGCCACACATTGGAGTTCAAGGAGGCGGAAGTTCTCGCTAGAGGTTATAGTCGAATGAGCCGAGCGCTACTTGGGTCATGGTCCACAGCCTCCCAGGCCATTAAAAAAGGCAGCGACCCCCTCTCCCCACCTCATACTCGGCGTTCAGACTACGTTTGGCCAAAGTAATGTCCCCACGGACAACGCGCAGGCGAAACGGCTTCCAATGCCAGTGTTGATGAGTTAGGTGGCCGAGGATTTATCATGCCAACACGGGTGATGAAATGTTTGCAATTAGCGACTCGAATGGAGGTCATCAAGCCATTATCTCACCAAGGAAAAACCAATTTTCGATGAAAGGGGGCAAGCGTTAATTGTCATAGGTATGCCACAGCAT